TATCACCAGAAAATTTTGTATTTTGAGGGCCCTTCAAAATTTTGCTCGCACGAACACGTTCCCCTTTCAAAGCTGAAAGTGCACGAGCATACACAGCCTCACCTATAAGTGTAACAGGGACACCCAGTTCTAGCGAAGATATAGCAGTCCATTTGCCAGTCCCTTTCTGTTTAGAAATACAAAATTTTTAAATCATTTGTGTACTTCGTAAATCATTCTGATACAGAGCTTGCACTTACTTGACCAGCAACATCCTTGATTTTTTCGATTATAGGTGCACCATCATTATCCTTGTATTTCACAATATTTTTAGTAATTTCTATCAAAAATGAATCAAGTTCACCCTTGTTCCATTCCTCAAATACATTCCCAATTTCTTCATGCGAAAGACCAAGACCTCTCATTAAATGGTAGGCTTCACAAATGAGCTGCATATCACCATATTCGATACCATTATGAACCATTTTGACATAATGACCAGCACCAGTTTCACCAACCCAATCACAACATGGCTCTCCACCAGCCTTGGCCGCAATAGCTTGAAAAATTGGTCGTACATGTTCCCTATAAAAAAATATTTTTTTTCATATGTGAATAATAATGCTAAGAGACTAAAAAGAATAAAGGATTCATACCATGCAGCCAAAGAACCTCCGGGCATAAGGGATGGACCATAACGAGCACCATCTTCACCTCCAGAAACACCACAACCGATAAACAAGAAACCCTTTTCTTCTAAATATTTACACCTGCGGATAGTGTCTGGATAATGAGAATTGCCGCCGTCAATGATAATATCGCCCGGTTCTAGATGAGGAATAATTTGTTCGATAAAGTCGTCAACGGCAGATCCGGCTTTTACCAAGAGCATAATTTTTCGTGGGCGCTTAAGTTTAGTCACAAGATCGTTGATAGAACTGGCGCCGATTATATTAGTGCCTATAATCACGTTAGTTATTAAATATTAAAATTTTGATCCGCTTGTAAATGATCATTTGCAGAAACGATTAATACCTTTAGCTTCATTTTGCAAAAAGTATTCTACCTTAGACACTGTTCTGTTATAAGCAACTACAGTGAACCCATGGTCATTAATATTGAGGATCAAATTTTGACCCTAATTCGAAATGGATCAATGCTTATTAAATATGTTAATAAAACGTCTGAAATTATTTCCTGAATACAAACCATGACAGCAAGGCCGATAAGCCCAAAGTCTCCTCTATAGAATAAA